TGTGGCCTGAGGCCTGCCGACACCTCTCTGCAGCCCTGTTGAAATGTTTATTTATAACTCTCTTCCAGCTCCAGCTCCTTCTATCGTCTGCCAGCCTCCATGCCAGTCCAAACACGCCAGGTCTCTCCAGACTGATCCAGAGCATGATTTCGGAAAGAAGAGAACCCTTTCCTCCCTCTTTCCCCACTTTCTGTTGCCCAAACTCTCCTACCTCCCTGTTTCCCAAAGAGTGACACTTTGGGAGAGAACTGAGTAGACGCAGAAGGGAGAGCAAAGGAAGGAAAGGGAGGGAGGGATGGATGGATAGAAGAAAAGAGGGAGGGTGCAGAGGTTTACTTCATGCAGCATGGGCTGCTAAATTGGTTTCAGAGCAGCAGTTGGACTCCAGGGATGCACGGCGCACACTGCCGACTAGCTGTGTTTGCTTTTGTGGGGTGTAGGAAATTCGATCACTATCCTTGTAGCCAGCCCACATCCCACCCATCAATACCCTCAAGAATGAAGGGAGCAATGAGGACAAAACCCCTCAAACAGGCAACAAAGGTATGGTACTTAACTTTAAGTCAAAGAACGAAAAGCGCACATCTCACTCAAATGTTGAGTGGTTACATCATATCATATGAAATATCTTTTATATCAGGAAGCAAGACACATGTCTGTGAGTCCCTGGTGCTCCCAAGGCTGAAGGCTCACTAAATAGGTTTAATTGGACTAAGCCTAACAGTGCCATGCAGGCATTGGCAGACACAAATAGGGCTATGGGGAACTGTGAGGCACCCAAGAGACCTCGGGCACCACAAGTCTGTATGTTACTTTGTGCTGCTGTATGGCTCATTTGGTACACTCACAGCTTAAGACCACTCTGCTTACACACCGCCATGTCCAAAGGATTTGTGCCAAATTACAAATACCGGTTGTTTATCTAAATAAAACATGCTCATACAGCCGGGCCATGATTAGTTTGTTGCCCACAGCATAACTCCAGCTCCAATAAGTGGGATTTGTTTACCTCCTCGCGACTGTGTATGCACATCTGTCTCTTATAGCTCTGTCTTTGTAAAAGCCCTCTTCCATGTCAGCCACCAAGGTCTCTGACATCCTCTCGCAACTGGTAAAATGTAGCTCAGGCGTCACAAAAAGGAAATTTATATCATATTATTTCCACTCAATCAATGAAGCGAGTGTCTGATGAATAATATATAATGCATCAAATATTTATTCAAACACATACAATAAAGGGGAAAAAATGAAACCTAAAGAAGGAAACGTATTTGTACAGAATTTAGTGTCCATGCTGTGTATGGAATCATAAAATGAATGCCCCAGTCGTTCGTTCTGGTGTTATAAAAGGAGTAGCTGTGATGCACGAGTCACTTTTCTTTAATTATTGTAAGTGTGCATGTTTTATGCAGATCACGTAGACACACAGGCCCACACATATAAAATAGACCCCGGCTTTAGAGCAGATCCTCATTTCTCTCTCAGACAGTTTGCTTGCGTTGCATCACTTGTCTTACATTGCATGTGTATATGATGACAAATCCTACATCTAATTTACTCAGCCTTTCTGCAGCGCTGCAACAACCTCTCCCGCTGAATAAATGATCCTGCTTTAAAAGCCACCAAGTGTTACGAGAACCACTCTGCACACTTTTTTTTTTTGGTGTCTCCAAGTATGAGTGTGCACGTGTCAAGGCTGGTGAGGAGTTGATTGTGTTTCTGCTTGTGAGCGTTTTGTTTAGTTTTTTTTTTCCTCGTTTGTGTATTTGTCAGGAGTTAAGTCCTGAGGGAATGCTGTCTCCTCAGTTGCCGTCTCTCCTGGTGGTCTGTCATTAATAGTCTGTCTGCTGTTGATGATTTAGAGACGGTAAGAAAAAAAATAGGATGCAGTTAGTTATATCAAGTCATAGCCCATAAAATCATTTAACAACCTGGAATAATAAACACCTCAACAAGTAAATAAATAATCAGTAAATCAACAGATCAGGCTCAGTGACTTTTTTTCTGAGTTTGGCTTTGTGTGTGTGTGTGTGTGTGTGTGTGTGTGTGTGTGTGTGTGTGTGTGTGTGTG